GGCACAAGAAGTATAGGTTCAGACTGAGATGCTTAGGTTTTCTTTTGACCAGATTTGGAAACTCTCTAGGTTGATTAACTACTTTTTTATGGAAATTTGAGAATTAGGATAGCATAAACCAAACAAAACTTGTTGGCGTTGAGTCAGTTCCGACTCATAGAGACCCTGTAGGACAGAGTAGAACCGCCTCATGGGGTTTCCAAGGAGCACCTGGCGGATTTGAACTGCCGACCTCTTGGTTAACAGCTGTAGATCTTAACCACTATGCCACCAGAGTCTCTATAGCTCTTTCCTAATTTTCCTTTCAGTGTGAAGCAGTAGAGTGTGGCCGCTGGAGTGGATAGACCTAGGTGTGAATTCTAGCACCTAATTGTTTAAATGCTGGGATTGTTGCTTAAACTCTGAGTTAGTTTCTCCATTAGTAAAAGTAAAAGGTGATGGTGGTGGTTGTCATGTTGTTAGTTGCCTTGGAGTTGATTTGACTCATGGCCACCCCATGTGTCAGAGTAGAACTGTGCTCCATAGGGTTTTCAAGGCTGTGACCTTTTGGAACCAGATTGCCAGGTCTGTCTTCCAGGTGCTTCTGGGTGGACTCGAACCGCCAATCTATTAGCTAGTATTTGAGCCCTTAACCATTTGCTCCACCCAGGGACAAAGATGGTTAGCAATACTTAATTTACTTCAAGATTGGGTAAGGATTAAATGAAATAACAAATGAAATGCCTGGCAATAGTAAATATACAGTATGTGTTTATTCCCCTGCCTTTTTTCTCCATAAAATCATAGAATAATAGCAGTTCGCCTCCTTAAATCTCCTACCTCCGTAAATTGGATTCTTGCCGAATTACAATTGAAGCCAGGCAAAGATCCAGTGCTTCTTTAGTTGTTTTAGAAGAGGCAGCATGAATATTTTACTAGTACTTAGCAAGATTTGCAATCTTGTTTAAACTATATTTACAGTTTCAGTTTTTTACCCATAATTTTTGGCATTTATTATGATGGTTTCTGGACTTCCATTTGTACTTTTGGATTTCAGACTATTTAAATAGGCCCAATTCATTGGCAGAAATTTTAATGTCTAATTTTCTTTTTTTTTTTTTACTATCCTCTGCTAAATTGGAATAATGTAGTCATTATGTAAATATGCTGAAGGCTGAAAGAAAGCCCTCTGTTTTCTCCCTTCTCTTAAATCATAGGAATGTCTTTAGATGTCCACAACCTTGATATCCGCAACTTAGCTAAAATTGAGCCATTAGTAAAGACATAATAAAGTCATTTGAATTTAGGTCGTCAAACAGGTGAAAAGAAGTTTTTTTGTTTTTTGTTTTTTTTTTAGTGTGTTTGTATGTGTGTCAGTCTCAGATTTCTATAACCTTTTAAAAAGATTTGACTGATGAGGCTGTTTGAGGATGGTCTCGTTTTTTTCCACATCCTGAAACTCAGGAAGGATATTTTCATGATGAAGACTTTAGGAAGCTTGCTGAGCTGCTGTGAGCTGAACAAATCTATCAGCTGCTAATTTTTTTTTTCCTATTTGGCTGGATGAACTTTATTTTTGAAGATGTCTGTCTCAGTTATTCATAGCAGGTGCTGAACTCCGGGTCTCTGCAAATGTTACGGATGGTTAAATTGTCAGTCTTTAGTTCCTAAAATAAATTAGAATGTTTTGAGGTTGTGACTGAGAAAGACATTGAAGATTATTTTTGTTATCTAGAGTTTTACAGCTGTTGGGAGTTTTACTTCTCTTTTTGACTCTGTTTAAACAGTCAAGAGCCTACACTATATGTTAGATAATAAGGTAAATGATATTTTTACAGCTGTATGATTTTCAGCAGAAAGGTTTAAGAAAAATTGCTACCAAATTGAGTTCTGCCTTTCATCAAGTAGGTTGATCATGACGTTTAATTCACAAATGCATACATACATGCACGCATAGACCCAGACCTGCCCACACACATGCTCACAGCCTCCTCCTCTTCAAGTGGTTCATAGCCATCACTTAGTGATGGCTAAGGCCAGCTCTAGTTTTAAGTGTCATGGGGACTGCTCTGCGCACTGATTTGTGTGGAAGTATTGCCACCAAGAAATTTTATTCTCAGATTTGCCCCTCATTCCCTATTTTAGGACTTCTGCCTAGACCTCTCTTTGATTAACCTCTATCTTGATTATTAGATTCCAGGTTTGGATGAAGTGTAGCAAGACTGTGAGACATTTATTCTGGGGGTGAGTCCTTTAATACAGTGTTGTTTACTGCATAGTTTGCAGTGCAGTGCACGCAGTGAGCTGTTTGTTAGCTGCCTGCAACAGACAAGTACAGAAATCAAGAATGAGCACTTAGAAACTAACAGGAATTTGACAGAATAATGCTATGTCTGCTGAATTTAATAATACAAATCTGAGCTTGTATTTTGCATGTCCTTAAATTCATTTTTCTAGTAATTCATATTTATTGTATTTTATAGAAGTATTCATTCATGACTGATGGGAAATTAACAAAACCAAACTGGTCACAGATGGTATGAGAAGCACTGCAGTTCAGTTTTGATGAAGGAAAGATCTGAATTGTCACTTGATTCTACCTTGTTCTGAGTGAAGTCAGATTCCCTCGGCACCATTGATTTGCTAAAGGCCAAGTGATATTTAAATTGGCTTGACCACTTTTGCTTTTTATTGAGGTGAAGATACCACTTAGTTTTATGGTCTTTCAGAGCCTGTATTGCCTACAGATTATCTAGGTTTGTTTCTGGCACGTTCAGTTTCTTAAGTACTTCTCATCACCTGTTCATTCCTTCTTTTCATTCTTTATAATGAGATAGAAGAAATTAAGGTAAATTAAGATGAAATTAAGGCATGTTTTGAAGGAAAAATAAAGTTTAAGGATTGATTTGATACAGGATTGGAGGAGAAGGGGAGTCAAAAATGATTAAGCTCTGAGGTGTCAGGATCTTGGAGAGTTGAGAGAGGAGTTGATTTTAGAATACCATAGGGCTGTTCTATATTAGTTATTTTGAATGTGTTGAGGTTATAGTTGAAACCGTTAGTTATGATAATACCTTAAATATGAAGTTTAATTCTCCAAGTGATTTAATGACCGTACAAACAAAACAGCTTTGATGTTTCCAAAGTTAAAAGAAATAAAAATAGGAAAAGTAACTGGAAAATGGAAAAGAAGAAATTTAGTAGAAGAACAAGCAAAATCTCATGTAAGAAGGAAAGAGTTTCTTAAAGGGAGAGATTATTAGAATTTAGGGCTGCCCACAGTTTAAGGATTGAGAAAGGAATTTGTCTAGTAGGAAACCATAGATGTCCTGAAAGAATAGTTTGTAGGAGTAGTCATAGACAGGAGCTAGGAATTAGCAAGGAATTAAAAATAATCTGTGATATCTAGGGAAACCCTAGTGGCATAGTGGTTAAGAGCTACAGCTGCTAACCAAACGTTCAGCAGTTCAAATCCACCAGGCAATCCTTGGAAACACTATGGGGCAGTTCTGCTCTGTCCTGTAGGGTCGCTATGAGTCGGAATCAACTCGACGGCAGTAAGTTTTTTTTTTTTTTTTTTTTTTTATGATGTCTAGTATGCACCTATTGACAAGAATCTCACAGTTTAGTAATGGAGACAAGCATGTAAAAATATTAGTATCTTTCATTGTGATGATTTGTTTTTTGACCCATGGATTATATAGAAGTGTGTTGCTTAATTTCTAAATACTTTAAGATTTTTTTGGGCAACTGGTTTCTAATTGAATTCCATTATGGCCAAAGAACATAGGATTTCAGTCCTTTGAAATTTGAGACTTGTTTTATGGTTCAGCTTATGGTCTGTCATGGTGAATGTACCATGTTTTATAGTTGTTTTCGTCAAGAGAGGGATTTGTCTGGTATGATCTTAATCTATCATATTTGAAGTGAAAGTTCATGTTATAGTTTTGAAATAATTCTAAAAAGAAGTAATTTAGTTATGCTATTGTTGCTCTACTCATGATCTATTTATAATAAAAGAATTGCGAGTAATTTGTGATATTTATAAATATAAGCACTGAGGAGAAAGATTAGTTTCTCGAATATTATATTGACTCTCAACCAGAGCCAGATATTGAGCTAAGCATGGTATAAAAATGAATAAGACATACTTGCTAATCTCAAAGTTCTTAAGATCCAGTGGAAACATAAAGGGACGAATGGTGGGCACTGATCTTCCAAATGCCAAGTGAAATCTCTTTCTGCATTTATTTTAGGCTAATAATTAACTTGGAAAAATAAAGAAATTTCAAGTTTTGGCATAGTGGATTTAGAGTTATTAGTTACTACAGGATGTTTTGGCATTTGACGGGTCTTTACCAGCTCAGTGAAGGTGGATTTCTTGAGAGCAGGGGTCATATCTGGTTTGTTCTTGTCCCTAGGGCTTGGGTGGTCTTTGCTCAGAAATATTGGTTAATTCAATGAACAGTTTATCTTTATAAATCCTTAGATTCCTTTACTGTCTTCATAAGTACTCTTAAAAATACAAAATCACAGATGATTAGGGATTGTCTCAATGTCGCAGAACTTTTCTGATAATTGTTTAAGCAAGAAGAGTTTTTATTGCTGTCCTTTGTGTACTTAGAGTTTGATTGGAGTTGGAGGTGATTGACTTGAGAGTAGAGAGATGGTTGAAGAAGCACTTTTTCTTATTCTGAGTGCTCTAGGGGCCAAAAAATGGAGAGGTCTTCATGGTGTGCTCAGAAGGGTCGTGAGAAAGAGTTCTGATAGAGTTAGTTGTAAACATGTTCAGTGTTTGAGGCCCTCATAGGTCACTAATGAGAAATGTTTCATAAGCCATATTGATGTGGGACAGAAGGTCAGGGAAGAAGTAAGGATTTGAGGTATAGCGTCATCTACTTAATGGTGATAGTTAAACCTGAGAATAGAAGGAGGTGAGGGGGTATAAAAGGAAGTGCAGAGGTCTGAGAACATCATGTAATATATTATATTGTTTCTCATTATCTCTTTGTCTAACCCAGAACTTTTTAGAAAAGTCAACTGAAAGAGAAACTCGCCAAGAATATGCTCTGGCTATGATTCAGTGCAAAGTACTGAAACAGCTGGAGAACTTGGAACAGCAGAAGTATGATGATGAAGATATCAGTGAAGATATAAAATTTCTTTTGGAAAAACTTGGTGAGAGTGTTCAGGATCTTAGGTGTGTATGATTCTCTTTAATTCTCACAGGCTGGACTCAGTGGCCTTGTTTGACTTGCATAGTATTTTAGGAAAATCTCAATTGTTCCAAGTTTAAAAATCACAGGATTTCACTAAAATGTTATGCCTTTTGTTAAAAATTGGAAAATCTAGAAAAACTGGCTCATCATTCTTAGTTGACAGCAATTGGTTAGAGCTATGTTTTCTGTTTAGCGGAGAACCCCACTGTTCTCTGTTGTCTAAAATCTGACCATCTCTACTAAGGATGACAGCCTGACCCTGGAACCACTTGAGAGTCTGTCCTTGACTTAGAGCCTTTTTAAAGCAGCAATGGTTATTTGTTAAGTTGTGGAGGAGGTTTGCCTATATATGGAGAGATTTTTTTTTTTCCTGCATTTTTGACAGTCCTGTTGCTTCATTTTATTTTTTATATTAAAAATCATACAAATAACGTACATACAGTAAAGAAAAAAAACCCTTACACCGTACAGAAGAGTCTACGATGAAAAGTAAGAGCCTTTCCATCATCTTCCCCCTCCTAGTCCATTACCCCTCTAGTTTCTTGTGTTCCTTCATATAAACCTGCATACCCCCGTCCCCCACCACAAATGGACTTATGCATATTCTTCTGGCCCCCGTTCTTTTTCTGTTTAATAATGTCTTGATGATCTTTCCCATTAATACACCTATTTTTCGTTTTAACCAATTGACATATTTTTAAAAGAGTTTTGCTCTCTGAAAATAAATACTTCCTGTAGGTGGATTGGGTTTGGGAGCAAGACAGACTTGGGCTTGAATTGTTTGGCTACTTTCTAGACCTGTGACCTTGAACATGTTTCTTTTTTAAGTCTCAGATTTCTTTTCCGTAGTATAGCAATAAAAATGCTAACCTCACAGGATTTGTTGTGAGGTTTCAGGTGCCAGCAAATGCCTCAGGGGTAGTATGTACTGCAGAAGTGTGTTTACCAGATGGTTTAATGTAGTCCATAATCCCAAGGCCCAAAAGATTTCATAGAAATGGAACGTATTACCTATACTGGTGGTTTGTAATGGATTTTTGTAGAGGGAGGCAAATGATCTGTGTCATCCTAAAATTTCAAGTATGGATAAGTTGACTGTAATATATAGGCTGGCAGTAGGCTTTCACAGTTATAAAGTTTTGTTGTTTTTATGTTTATTTTTAAAATACACGGTAAGTTCCTCTATAATAATTGTTCAAGGCTGGGTTTTGTTTTGTTTTTTAAATAAGATTTGTGGTAGTTAGCTTTGTGAATTAGTCTGCGCTTCCTTGTTAGCCAATTATTATCACTGATTTTTTTCACCTTGAATTTGATGATTTGAAAAATGTTCTTATTTGCATAAAGTGAGTGATGGGTGCAGTTGAAAGATTTATCTCTGATTTGACAGTTACAGATTCAGGATACTAATGTTAAAAAATACTAATGTACTTATTATACTAACTGGTCTTATGTTAAAGCAAATTACTATTTTTTTCAAAGGGATATTTTCTGGTCAATTTAATTAGTAAATCCTGGTTATACCAAATTGCCAATCTTAATATTTAAATGGCTACATCTTTTATTTTTTAAACTGAAAGAAAATCTAAGCATGTCCTTTCAGTGGGTCTGTCTACTGGTTAATCACATTTGAAATTTGTATATTATGAATTTTTGTATACTTGTTATTCTAGACACAGTGAATGATTTTTTAATTAAAGTACATTGCAGTTATATTTACAGAGGTTTTATTTTTAATCAACTTATAATAAACCAAAAAAACCCAAACGTGTTGCCGTAGAGTTGATTCTGACTCATAGCGACCCTATAGGACAGAGTAGAACTGCCCCACAGGGTTTCCAAGGAACGCCTGGTGTATTCAAACTGTTGACCTTTTCGTTAGCAGCCGAACTCTTAACCATTGCACCACCAGGACTCCTAACTTATAATAGATGAATTCAATTAATGAATTACCTCTCCATTTTGATAATCATATTGTAAAATATTGTACTGATACTTGTGTTTTTCTCTTTTTGCCATATAGTATTGTAGTTTTTTTAAATAATGTATTACAAGGTACTATTTTATGTTAAAGTACTATGCTTTTACATAAATATATCTAGTGGTCTGGCAAATACAGTAATTCAAGTGTCCTGGTAGAAACTCTGTTAGATTATCAGATATTTTTATTGAATAACATTTATGTATTTATTAGGGTAAGGATTTTGAAAGCAAGTGCTCATTTTAACATCTCATCCAAAAAACCAAACTCATTGCTGTCAAGTTGATTCCAACTCGTAGTGACCCTATAGAACAGAGTAGAACTGCCCCATAGAGTTTCCAGGGAGTGCCTGGTGGGTTCGAATTGCCGACCTTTTGGTTAGCAGCCATAGCACTTAACCACTGCACCACCAAGGTTTCCTAATATCTCATACCAAGCATTTAAATTTCACAGTAGTGTAGGTTCTTTTTGTATCTTAATAAAATTTTACATGATTTATTAAAAATTATTTAAACTGTTTAAACTTTTTAAAGTGGTAGTTTGTTAAGGTACAAAGGATCAGAATCTTTGTAATTAAATCATCAGTGAAGATGTTACATTTTAATTTTGGAGTAGCTGTCAAATTTTTATAAACTTTGAATTCTTTAAACATTTTTTAGCTCATTTGACGAATATAGTTCAGAACTTAAATCTGGAAGGTTGGAATGGAGTCCTGTGCACAAATCTGAGAAATTTTGGAGAGAGAATGCTGTGAGATTAAATGAGAAGAATTACGAGCTCTTGAAGTAAGTTTTTTATTCCATTTTATTTCCTTACACCTGTTGTTCCATATTCACACCAGCACTTTTTTTTTCTTGTTCTTTTTAGTTTTAGGTATTCTGTGATTTTAATTTGTATTTTCTTGCTGACTAGTGAGGTTAAATACCTTTTCATATGCTTGTTTTTTCAGGAGAAAGTGTCTGTTACAAGTCTTTTTTTCATTTTATAGAAGTTCTATATGTATTTCAGACATGAGTTCTTTATCATGTATATCCACCACAAATGTTTTCCCACACTGTCACTTTCCGTTTTACTCTGTAATGGTGTCTTGGTTAACAGAAGCTCTAAATTTTAATGTAAGTCAGTTTATTAGTCTTTTCCTTTATGGTTAGTGCTTTCCTGTGTCCTGCTTAAGAAGGTCTTGCCTACTGTCTTAGTCATCTAGTGCTGCTATAACAGAAGTACCACAAGTGGATGGTTTTAACAAAGAGAAGTTTATTCTCTCATAGTCCAGTAGGCTACAAGTCCAAATTCAGGGCATCAGCTCCAGGAGAGCGCTTTATCCGTCAGCTCTGGAGGAAGATCTGTGTCATCAATCTTCCTTTGGTCTGGGAGCTTCTCTGTGCAGGAACCTCAATCCAAAGGATGCGCTCTGCTCCTGGCACTGCTTTTTTGTTGGTATGAGGTTCCCGTGTGTCTCTGCTTGCTTTTCTCTTTAATATCTTAAAAGAGATTGGCTTAAGACACTATTCAATCTTGTATACCTCATCAGTATAACTGTGCTAATCCATCTTATTAGATCATCATGATTGAATTTACAATACATAAGGAAATCACATCAGGTTACAGAATGGTACACAGTTATACAATACTGGGAATCCTGACCCAGCCAAGTTGACAGAAATTTTTGGGACACAGTTCAATCCATGACTCCTACCCAAGGGCAAGAAGATATTTTTTTGTTATCTTCTAGAAGCTGTATTGCTTAACCTTTCACATATAGGTCTGTACTCCATCTGGAATTGATTTTGGGATAAGATATGAAGTAGGTGTCAAGATTGATTGTTTTGCCCTTACATGGATATCTAATTCACCCAGAACCATTTATTGAAAAGAACATTTTCCCCAGTGCTCCAGGGTAACTCTGTCATGGTAAGATGACCTTTTATATGCAAATGTCTCCCTCCCTCCTTTCTACCCTTCTTTTTTCCTTCCTTCCTTCTTTTCTTTCATTGAGATATAATTCACATACCATACAGTTCAACCATTTAAAGTGTACAATTCAATGGTTTTTAGTATGTTCATAGATATGTACAATCATCACCACAGTCAATTTTAGAACATCTTCATTGCTTCAACAAGAAACCTCATATTGTTTAGCTATCACCCTCTATTTCCCAACCTCTGAGGCCTAAGCAACCACTAATCTACTTTCTGTTTTTATGAGTTTGCCTGTCTGGACATTTCATGTTAGTGAGATCATAGAATTTTTATTCTTTTGTGACTGACTTATCTCTCAGCATAATGTTTTGAAGGTTCATCCAGGTTGTAGAATATGTCAGAACTTTATATTCCTTTATGGCCAAATAATATCCCATTATATGGATATACCACATTTTGTTTATTCATTTATCAGTTCCTGGACATTTGGGTTGTTTTCACCTTATGGCTATTTATTATGAATAATGCTGCAGTAAGTATTCATGTACAAGTTTTTATGCGGACATGTGTTTTCATTTCTCTTGGGATATACCTAGGTGTAGAATTGCTAAATCATGTGGTAACTCTGTGTTTAGCCGTTTGAAGAGCTTTTAGACTGTTTGTCAAAGTGGCTGCACCATTTTACATTCCCACAGCAGTGTATGAGGCTTCTGATTTCTCCACATCCTCACCAACACTTGTTATTATCTGACTTTTTAATCATAGCCATCCTAGTGGTTGTGAAGTGGTATCTCATTATGGTTTCAATTTGTATTTCCCTGTTGACTGATGATGTTGAACATATTTTGATGTGATTGTTGGCCATTTGTATATCTTCTTTGGAGAAATGACTATTCAGATTGTTGGCCCATTTTTAATTGGGTTGTCTTTTTATTATTGAGTTTAAGACTTCTTTTGTAATTTGGAGTCTTAGATTCATGAACATGTTGTATCACTCCCTTCTTGCTGTTACTTCATTTCTCATTTTGTCCATTTTTTTGGGGGGGTTTATGCTTTAAAAAAGGAAAGCATCGTTTTACTGTCATTTGAATGAGGTAAGGAGCAGAGGCGCTCAATGAATGCATATGTGTTCAATGGAACATCTTTAGGTAGACCTACCTCTGTTGTTTAGACTTATTTTGTATGTTTTACTGAAAATGCTACATTATTCTTATTGAAAGAAAGTGTGGCAAACTGAAGTGAATAGTTGAGATGTTGGCAGGACTGATGATGGAAAATAGGTAAGAGTAAGTAAAAGTGTTTTTTTTTTTCTCCCCGGCATTGTCTTGCCACTTTGAGTTTCTAATTTTAACAACAGCAAAAAAGAGCTCAAATAATGTTTTTCAAATCTATTCTTTGGAAAATTTGAATGTAATAGGGAAAGCTTTCTACAAATTATTACTGAAGCACATTACATGTATCTTCATCATGTTACACTTAAAGAGCCTTATAATATGCACATTGTTTTCTGGCATTGGGTTGTAATTTTTATGGCTCCTTGAAATTAAACCCTTTACATTATATGACCCTTTGTAGTTTTTCTGAATAACCAGAAACAATAACATGTAGCATTTTAGTTTTCTGTTTAAGTGATGATGAGAAATTTGAGGGCACTGTTTGTCTTTAGTTTTTGTTCCTATCAATTTGCTGCATGAGAATGATTGGTAGGAAGAGCATCCTCATGCTGCCCTTCAAACTAGCTGGTAAAGTAGATGCAGATGAAATCTTTATTTGATCCTGCTATTAAAAAAGCACAGTGCACACTAGCCTTCTTTTTATCTGTGGAGAATGGCACTTATGTCAGGCTATGACCTATTTTCCAGGTAATTCCAAGCCTAGCAAGTATATAATACAAGCTCACTTTTTTTGTAGCACGTGAGTACAGTAATATTCAGAAAATACCTTGTTGCTTCCTATGTTTAATTTTGAAGTAAGTATATATTTTGATAAAAGGAATATTCTGACATGTGTAAAACCATGACAGTGATAATGAAGAGAAAAGCAAAAGCTGAGGGAGCAAACATGTTTATAAAGCTGAGGAAAAACATGAAAGAGAACAAGAGGACATTTGGTGAGTGATCAATTAGAATAATAATGTACATTCTCTTGAATTTGAACCGTCACTTTCCAAGATTACGTTTCTGGGAAATGTCAGCGGCTGAATTCACATTTAGGTCTAATTCCAAAGCTATGATATGTTGCTGTCTAGATCCCATTAGAGAATTTGACAGAAACATGGCTTGTGGTTAATGTAGTGATAGAGATTTGGATTATGATTGATGAACCCACTGTTGACATGATGACTGTACTCAGGGACAGCTTGGCAGGAGGTTTCTTTGCTACCACAGAAATCTCTTTGGACCTGTTCTTTTGAACATTTTTATTTATGATTTGAATGTAGAACTAGAAAGCATGCTCAGCAAACTTCCAGAAAATACAAAGATGTTTCCATTATTGCAGAAGACTAAATGGCCCTAAGGGATACTATTGAGTAATTTCTGTCTTGGGTAGGGGATTTGACTAGAAGGTCTCTGTGACTCCTTCGAGCTGTAATTATCTTTGAGTCTAAGACTGTGCTTTTCAGACTTTACTGGAGATCTTGTTAAAATGCAGATTCTCAGTGGAGCTTGAGATTCAGCATTTCTGATAGTGTCCAGGTGGTGCTACTGGCTTGCAGACTCTATTTTGAGTAGCAAGGTGGTACAGTCTCCAGTGTGCTTTCTGTGCAGGGTTGCATGAACCTGCATCTTTACAAAAGGTCATCTCTGTACAGCACCATGCTGCATGTATTAATCCATGGCTTGACTTTTTTGCTTAGTATGGCTTGGAGAGCTTTCCTGGGTCAATCTACAGTCTTTTTTTTTAATTTAAATTATGATAAGTATATATATACTTACTATATATATAACAAAATATCATCCATCTCAGTTCAGTGACATTAATTACATTTATCATGTTGTGCAACCATTACTACTATCCAGATTTTTCCATCACCCTTAACAGAAGTTCAGTGCTCCCTAAGAAATGACTCTCCTTTTCCTCTCTCTCCTGCCCATGTTAATCACTAAATAAACTTTGGTTTCTTTACGTTTGCCTATTCTGGATACTTCATATAAGTGGGATCATACAGTTTTTGTCCTTTTGTGATTGACTTATTTCACTCAGCATCTTTTCAAAGTTCATTCATTTTGTGGCATGTATGAGGACTTCATTTCTCTCTGTGCTCAGTAATATTCCATTGAATGGATACACTACATTTTGCTTATTCATTCGTTGATGGACATTTGTTTTCACCTTGGACTACTGTGAAAAGTGCTACAGTGAACATTGGTGTACAAGTGTCTGTGTTCCTGCTTTCAATTTTTTGGGGCATATACCCAGGTGTGGAAATGCTAGCACATATTTTTTGAGGAACCGCAAACTGTCTTCCACACTGACTGCACTATTTTATATTCCCACGAGCAGTGGATGAGGGTTTCAATTTCTCCACATCCTCGCCAGCACCTGTTGTTTTCCCTTTTTCTGATCATAGTTATTCTAGTGGGTGTGGAGTGGTATCTCATTGTGGTTTTGATTTGCGTTTCCCTAATGACTAATGAATGATGTTGAGCACCTTTTCATGTGCTTGTTGGCCATTTTGTATTTTTTATTTAGAGAAATGTCTATTCAGTTCCTTTGCTCATTTTTTGATTGGGTTGTCTTTTTGTTGTTAAGTTATAGGAGTTCTTTATATATTCTGAATATTAAACCCCTATCAGATACATCATTTCCAAGGATTTTATCCCAGTGTCTAGGTTATCTGTTCACTTCGTTGATAAAGTCCTTTGATGAACAAAAGTTTTTAATTTTGATGAAGTCCCATTTATCTATTTTGTCTTTGGTTGCTTGTGCTTTCGGTGTCATAGCTAAGAACCCATTGTTAAAAACTAAGTCCTGAAGCATTACCCCTATGTTTTCTTCTAAGAGTTTTATGGTTTTAGTTCTTACATTTAGGTCTTTGATCCATTTTAAGTTAATTTTTGTCTGTAGTGTGAGGGTATAGGTCTAGTTTCAATCTTTTGCGTGTAGAAATCCAGTTGTTCCAGAACCATTTGTTAAAGAGACCTTTCTTTCCCCGTTGAATGGACTTAGCACCCTTGTTGAAAATCTGATAGAACTTTTAAATTATTAAAGGTAAAAACTATCGGTCTTCTAAGACTTTTAAATATTCTAAGCCTTTTAAAACTCCTTTGCCACCCCAAGATTATAAAAAATATTTTTCCGTGTTTTCTATGAATATTTTTACATATTCTTTTCTTTTATGCCTTTTAGTAAACTATTCTCATATTTCTTCAATTAGTTCTTGGCTCGTTTCTTTTTAGACCTATTCCAAGGTATTGTATAGATTTCTGTTTCTCTACTATATTTGCTAATTGGTAATTATTGATGTATTAGGAAGTTAATTGTTTTTTATAGGCTTGTCTTATACACAGCTATTTATTTTATTAATAGATTTGTGGTTTTTGAAATGATTCTCTTTGATTTTCTTATTTTTTTTAAAGAAATATTCCTTATTTTTCTTTGTATTTTTTATACCTCCTATTCGTTTTTCCTTATTGCATAGTCTAGGCCTCTAACATCATGTTAGATTTTAGTAATTATAGTGTTTTTTTCTGAATTTGGCTTTGGGTTTCTAATAAATCCCTTTGCAGGATCGAGGAAGTACCCTCCTGGTTCCAGTTTACTGGTGGTTTTTTTTCAGAAACAGGTGTTGAATTTTATTAAAAAATTTTTCTTTAGCATTTGTTAATATACTCATGTGTTCATCCCCCCAGCTACAATGTACTGAGTTACCCATCCTAGCATTTCTACCTGAAAAATGATACTCTCTTAGTATAGTATGACCTGCATTCAGGTTGCTAATTCTTTACGGTTTTTATATCTCTGTTTCTAAGTCAGAGTCCCTGGGTTGTGCAAATCATTAACATGCTTGGCTGCTAGTCAAAGGGTTGGAAGTTGGAGTCCACCCAGTGATGCCTCGGAAGAAAGGCCTGGCCATTGTTTCTGAAAAATCAGCCATTGAAACCCCTGTTCCTATGGAGCACAGTTCAGAATTGACTTGATGGCAACTGGTTTATTTCTAAGTCGGTGGTATTGCTGGCATATTAGAAAGTAATTGTTTTTTAATATGTTAGTCTTCTACCTAGGCTTTTAAAAAATTACTCATTCTGGTTGGTTATCACAGTTATACTCTCCTTGTAGAATGTAATGAGAAGTTTTCCATCTATTCCTGTGCTCTTAAGCCTTTACATAACATAGGAATGATCTGTTCCTTGAACTGTCTCCACTTGCAAGCATGAGGAAGGCGGCAATCCTTTTCCAGCTCCGTGAGTTCTGAGCAGCATAGCCCTTTCCCTCCACTACCAAGGAAACACGGTCCTCCTTAAGAAGGCGTACATTTGTGGTTGTGGCTTCAGGCCCAGCAGAGGCAAGCCTTCTCTGCTGTTGGTCCTTGCCTTCTGACCCAGAAGTACCCTTGAGACTCCAACAGTAGTTTTATTCTGCTTTTATGGTTGTTCCAGAAAATGTATTGGGAGGGCAAGGGATTCATAATTGTGCATTTGGGCTGCCATCGTCTCAGAAACATCCATCTGCTTTTATGGATTTAATCCTATTTGTACAATATATGTTCCAGTTTTTTGTCAGATTTGAGGCAAGAGAGAGGGGAAATGTGTGTGCTCAGTGTTCAGTCAGCCATCTTGATCTTAGAGTGTTGAAAGTGATTTGTTTCTAATAATAACAAAAGGTGCTAAAGTTCTAAAATGATTTATTTAAAAAAATAGGATTCTCTGGTGGTCCTACATTAAAATAACTTTTACATATGATAGAGTTCCTGATATTTTGGGAATTGTGCATGGTATACATTGCAAATCTGAAGGTTACAATGTGCCTAAGAGGTTTGAAAAATGCTAACTTATGTATAATAGTGAAGTTAGCAGGAAAATATGATTATATTTATAAACACCTATTTTTTAGGAAGGAGCCCTGGTGCAGTGGTTAAGAGCTTCGCTGCTGACCAAACAGTTGGCAGTTCAAATCCACCAGCCACTCCTTGGAAACCCTATGGGGCAGTTCTGCTCCATCCTGTAGGATCACTATGAGTCAAAATCATCTTGATGGCAATGGGGTTGGCTTTTTTTTTTTTTTTTGGTTCTGCATGGTAAGTGTGCTCTCTTGTGATCTATGGAAAAATTAAAAATTGATCTCTTTCTGGATTTAAATTTATTTCAGAATCTTGACAAAACTTCTGGAGGTATCAGATGATCCACAGGTTTTAGCTGTTGCTGCTCATGATGTTGGAGAATATGTGCGGCATTATCCACGAGGCAAACGGTATGAGGAAAAACATTAATTTCATTTGGGTTTTCTGAAACTTTCAACATATATTCTTAGCTAATGTACTTATCTAAAGTAGAGTAGTTTAGCAAAGGGACTTATGAAATGAAATGAAAATTATACTGGAAATTATGGTAAACTAATTAAAATTAGATAGTATAAAAATACAAGTACACTGGTTTAATCCTACTGTGTAGTAGCCAATAGATATCATACTGGAAGTTTCATGTTAAAGATTTTCTTTGATTTGTATGGTTTAATTCAATAGCCATTTTGTGAACACTGGTTATTTTTCAACTACTGTTTGAATTTACAGAAATGAATTAGACATAGACTAAAGAGCCCTGGTGGTGCAATGATTAAGCCAAGCTTAATCATTGCAGCCAACCTTAAGGTCAGTTGTTTGAACCCACCAGCTGCTCTGTGAGAGAAAGACCTGGCAGTGTGCTCCCATAAAGATTACACCCTAGTCAAAGATCAGGTGACCATAGGTGGATGGATTTACATCTGTGTTCTCAGTTCTGTTCCATTGGTCAGTGTATCTGTCATACCAGTTCCAGGCTGTTTTGACTAATGTAACTGTATAATAGGTTCTGACGTCAGGTAGTGTGAGCCCTTCTACTTTATTCTTCTTCTTCAGTAGTGTTTTACTTATTTGGGGCTTCTTCATTTTCCATATAAAGTTCATGATTAGCTTTTCCATCTCTTTAAAGAATGTTGTTGGTATTTGGATCAGTATTGCATTCTATTTGCAAATTGCTTTGGGTAGAATTGTCATTTTGACAATGTTGAGTCTACCTATCCATGAGTATGATATGTTTTTCCATTTATGTAGATCTCTTTTGGTTTCTTGCAGTAGTATTTTTTAGTTTTCTTTGTATGGGTCTTTTACATCCCTGGTTAGATTTATTACTAAGTATTTTATTTTTTTAGGGTCTATTGTAAATGGTATTGTTTTCCTGATTTCCTTTTCGTTGTTCTCTTTATTGGTATATAGGAATCCAACTGATTTTTGTATGTTTATCTTATATCCTGCCACTCTGCTGAATCTTTCTGTTAGTACCACGAGTTTCCTTGTGGAGTCATTTGGATTTTCTGTGTATAGTATCATATCATCTGTAAATAGGGACAGTTTAACTTCTTCATTACCAATTGAATGCCCTTTATTTCTTTTTCTTGCCTTATTGCTCTAGCTAGAACTTCCGGCACAGTGTTAAATAGGAGTGGTGATAAAGGGCATCCTTGCTTGTACGTGTTCTTAAGGGGAATGTTTTCAGCCTCTCTCCGTTAAGAGTGATATTGGCTGTTGGTATTGTATAGATGCCCTTTATTATGTTGAGAAATTTCCCTTCTATACCTATTTTATTGAGAGTTTTTTTTATCAGGAATGGGTGTTGGACTTTGTCAGATGCCTTTTCTGAGTCGATTGAGATGATCATGTGATTCTTTTCTTTCCTTTTATTTATGTGGTGGATTACACTGGTTGATTTTCTAATGTTGAACCATCCTTGCATACCTGAAATGAATCCTCCTTTTTGGTGGTATATTATTTTTTTGCTATGATGCTGAATTCTATTGGCTAGAATTTTGTTCAGAATTTTTACATCTATATTCATGAGAGATATTGGTCTGTAATTTTCTTTTTTTGTGGTGTCTTTGCCTGGTTTTGGTGTCAGGTTTATACTGGCTTCATAGAATGAATTCGGAAGTATCCCTTCATTTTCTATGTTCTGAAATAGTTTGAGTAGTACCGGTGTAAGCCCTTCTCTGAATGTTTGGTAGAATTCTCCAGTGAAGCCATCTGGACTAGGGCTTTTTTTGTGTTGGGAGTTTTTTTAATTACCTTTTCAATCTCTTCTCTTGTAATCTGTTCAGATTTTCAACATCGTGTTGTGTTAGTTTGGGTAGGTAGTGTGTTTCCAGAAATTTGTCTTGTTTCCTCTAGGTTTTCAAATTTGTTGGAGTATAGTTTTTCATAGTACTCTGTTATGATCCTTTTTATCTCAGGTCTTTTTATTTGGGTTTGTTGTAATGTCCCCCATTTCATTTCTTATTTGGGTTATTTGCATCCTCTGCTGTTTTTCTTTTGTCAGTTTGGCTAGTGGTTTGTCGATTTTGTTGATCCTTTCAAAGAACCAACTTTTAGTTTTATTGATTCATTCTGTTGTTTTTCTATTCTCTATTTCATTTATTTCTGCTCTGTTCTTTATTATTTCCTTTCTTCTGGTGGCTGTGGGCTTCTTTTTCTTTTCTCTTTCTGTTTGAGTTGTGTAGCTAATGTTTTGATTTTGTCCCTTTCTTTTTTGATGTGTGCATCTATTGCTATAAATTGACCTCTGAACACTGCCTTTGCTGTGTCCCAAAGGTTTTGGTATGATGTGTTTTCATTCTCGTATGATTCTAGGAATTTTTTGATTCCA